CCCCCCCCCCCCCCCGCCCCCCGAGCCAAGGCTGCGGCTGTGGGAGAGGGAGATGATGACAAAGGTAAGGGCACCAAGGCTGGAGCAACAGCAGGGGTCGGGTTGGCAGCCGGGGCCAGGAGCAGAGCCAGGTGGTGCTCCCTCCCCACCCCCCCCCCATGGGGCTGGCCCAGGCCCCAACCACACCCCCTCAAACAGTCCTCTGCACCCCACTAGGGGGCACACCCCAATTTGAGGACCTCAGTACTAAGGTCATGTCTACACAAACGTTGTACCACTTGTACAGCTCTCTTTGTAGGGAAGAAGTATAAGCCATATGGGGAAAGCACCTTCACTGCATGGGTTGTGACAATTTACTCTTTTGATTAATGGTGTGATTTTTCTACTAAAATAGTTAAATACTGGTACAAAACCCGTATGTAGACAAAGTCTTGATCATACAGTTGTTGGGGAACTCAGAATGCAGGCAGTATGCATAGCCCCTAGAAGGTTCCCAATTTAAAAATCCTGATTGAACAAATACCGTAAGGAAGGCAATCATGCTACATCATTGAGACAGTTGTATAAATGGTGGCAAACAATCAGTGAATAAAAGGCACTGTTGGTGAACATTTAGATCCTATTTATAACTGGTGTCAAACATACATATAGACCTCTACCCCGATATAACACGACCCGATATAACATGAATTTGGATATAACACAGTAAAGCAGTGCTCCAGGGGGGCGGGGCTGCGCATTCCAGCAGATCAAAGCAAGTTCAATATAACGCGGTATAGATTTCACCTATAACACGGTACAAATGTTTTGGCTCCCGAGGACAGCGTTATATTGGGGTAGAGGTGTATGTACACACATACTGCAACATTCTCAATATTTAAAACTATTGCTCCCATGGCTGCAGATAATGAAGGGAAGGAAGGATGGTAGTGATATGAACCCTATGCCAGAGACAGCCAAGCTGAAATTCTTAGGACCTCCAGATGAAAGGGAAAAAGTTCAAGGCTGGTATTAAGACTGGGGCAGAATTATGATTGCTAGGGGACCTTAAAAACTACTGTATGTATTTCCATACTTTCAGATATTTGCATTTCTTTTAAGTTTAAACTTATTTAAAAAATATTGGAAGCCCTGGAATTTCAATTAACTATGACTCAAAGAACTTTGTTTTGTTAAGACCAGAGGAGACTGTGAGGAACTCCAGGGGGACTTAACAAAAGTAGGGAAAGAGCAGCACAGCAGACAAGATTCAATAGTCACAAAAGCAAGCTAATTACACGATGAACAGAATAATATGAACTTCTCATACTTTCAATTAACTTTAACCATGCAGGGAAAAAGCCGGGGTTCCACTGCAGCTAGCTCAAGGAAGAGACCTGCTTAAATAAGTGGCTGTCATCAGAAAAGCAATAAAAATGTTGAACTTTGCTTCAACTACCAGACAACAGAGCCAATTATTATTTATTTCCTTACTTATAGGTCCAGGCGCCACCAGCTACTGTCTTCATACAGGATCCACAATGCCAGATACCTACAGCTTTCCTCTTCATTTTGGTCTGTAATACAAAGTATTTATATACTTTCAGTTGAAGAAACCAAGAAATCTAGACATCTTTGCTCAGTAAAGACACGCGACCTTTCAGCCTTACTCCAAAAACAACACAATGGAAATAGGATTTAAATGTCAAGGTTTCACAACAGCAACGTTTGCAACCAGGGCCAGAAGAAATATGAAGACATCAGACTTTCTACAGGTCTCGACAAAGGCCAAAGAATTTCGGTAATGGCATTAACTCGGGCAGATAGTATTTACAACAGTGGTAACTGTCTATGTAAAAAAACCCTTCAGCTGTTCTCCCTCCCCCCCTCCCCCAGAAGAATAAAACAGAGGAACTGAATTGGCTTTAGTTCCTATCTATAGCTAGTCATTTACTCTACAAGTTGTTTTAGCAAGCCGTTTTACTATTGTGTTCTGCTCATATGGTTGTAAAACCATTTTAGCTTAAACTGATATACTAGCCTAAGTACCTAAATCCATAGTGTAAGAAAATGCTCCAGTATCAATCCAGCTCTGAATGGACAGTTACAGTAGTGGCTTTTTATGATGTAGGTAACTGGAACCCTTTTGGAGTCTCAACAAAATAACCAAGGTTGAATGGGTCTGGGCTACTAAACTGCTCTCCCTCCAGGTGAAGGCTGAAACGTATCAGCGGGACAGCTCACAGAACCGCAGCCCAGGCTGTATCTACTCAATGCCTTCAAAGCTATCAAACGGGCACATTTCATAAGCACTAAATTCACACAAAGAATGACCTCAGCTTTCAATTAGCTTTTAAAGTCCAACACTTAAGCTTGGATACCTATAGCTAAATACCTAAATCCATAGTCAGCCATTGAAGGTAGAAATCATTAGTAAGTATGGGTGCTCAGCACACCTGAAAATGAGGCCACTTTAACTGTAGGCATCTGAATCTGAATATTTTGGCTAAATTACTAAGGCAAAGAGTGAGTGGCCTTTCAAATTTCTGAGACCTGAATTCAATTTTTTTTAGGTCACATACAAGATCTACTCCTGGGGGGAATTCTATGTCATTTTGCGTGCATAATTAATGAGCCGTGCAAATTTTTAATTTTTTGCACAGAAAAAAGCTTCTGCTGGAAAGTTGCTGCAGTTATGCCTTTCGCGCACCAGAGGGCATTTCGACAATAGAACAGAGCAGCAGCTCCTGGCAGCTAGGGAAAAGAAACAGCCAGTCTTCTTCACAGTGCCTGTTGGGCCTGGTCAGGAGACATGGTGAGACAGACAGCGTGGGGCTGCTGGGGGGTGTCAGAGAGGGGCTCATAAGGGCTAGTTGGGGAGGACATATTGGGCCAAAGGCTGAATGGGTGAGGAGGCACAGGACCCCAGGGGGAGGGAGGTACAGGGCCACATGGGGATGGGGGAGTTGGACCACATATGGATAGGTGGTGGCACAGAGACACATAGGGATGAGAGGAGGGGGGGTATCTGAGTGGGCGTGGAGGGACACATGTGGGTGCAGAGACATGTGCCTGACTGAATGGGAAAGGCTAGGAGTCAGCCAGGGTCTGCATGGTGGAAGCTCCTTAACAACCCCTCCCCGCCCCCTGCAAAACACCTGTTCCATACTTTTCCCACCATACCTAACAACCCTCCATGTTCACTCCCAAGCTCCTTCCCAGCAATTACTTCCCTCTCCCTCAGCCCCTCCTTTACCCCAAATCCCCCAAGCCCTTACACTGCTTCCGAGGGGTGCAGGAAGTATGGCTCTGTATAGTAGTTTAAATGAATTATTACTCAGAGTTCCGTATTAATATGCCTAATAAGGGATCTTTTTGTCAAAAAAAGATTTCCTGAATCTTTTTTGTTGTTTGCATTGTTACAGACATACTTGCTGACAGATATTTTGAAATAAATGACCAAAAATAATTGGAACTAGTGTGATTATATTGTATTATTTTGACAAATAAAATATGCAGAATTTGAAAATAATGTGTGCAGAACTTTTCATTTTTTGTTGCAGAATTCCCACAGGCGTAAAGATCAATTAGATGGTTTCACTCCCTCCTCCCCAAAATATATAATGCACACAACTGGAAGTCTCACTCAAGAGATACATACTAGAAAAACTTGAGAATTATTGGGCAAAACAAATTAATATGATGTTTTAATAACCAGTGATACATGAAAAGTGTATATTTTTACCTTATGACCCTTTATTCGATGCCTAACATTTTCTGCCCATCAGCATCACTATTTAGTGTAGTGAAAAACAACTTGAGACCACATTAACTGAATTACCACCAAAACATGTAACTTAAAACATGGTCAATCTTATTTTGAGATAATATGAAAAGGTAGGAGAGGGATTTTGCAAGGTGTAATCTTACACCTCTGAAAGTTGTGGACAATTCAAACCATGCTTAGGCAGACCGTAATTAACCTGTTATATATTAAGAAGTAGAGAAATCTGAAGACGCAGTCCCATTTCTATTCACCGTAAGACTTTGAGAACCTGCTGGGGTGAATCAAAAAGGGCTCTTACCTTGCCACAGAAGGAGCAGGTATACTTGGCATGCTGGCTAATTTCAATTTTCTTTACCATTTTCCTGAGGGAAGCACCATAACGGGTACCATATTTTCCCACAATCCCAACTTTCTTGGTGCGCTTAGCCTGCCAGGATAGAAATCACCACACACATTAGCTTAATTAAAACCAGAGACTGGTTAGCAGTTTACTTAACAGCAGCCAAAGAATTAAAGCAGTTATCTGCACACTGCTTGAATCTATTTTCAATCAATTATGTAACAGTATTTTTTAAAGTACAGTTTCCACCAAAATGCTGTCCAAAATAAAGTTGTACTGCACTGGAAATTCAAGCCTATATGAATTATTCCATAGCCACAGCTCCATGAGTACTGCTCTGGTATGCAGTGTTTTTAGGATCACAAACGTGCAATGACTGCATGCAGGCACATCAGTGTACTTAAATGCAGTCATAGGATTGGGGCCTAAATGAGGATTGCATCATTGCATATCTACAGAGCCTTTCACCAGATATTCTCAGGATCACACTGACAATCAAATTAAGTCTTGCAAAAGTAAGTATTTTTATCCCTATATCAGAAATAGGGCGAAAACTAGACAAAGATTAAATGACGTGCTCATATTCACATAGCAAGTGGGGGTTGACTAGCCTTGCCATTACCCATCATCCCACGTTTAAACTTCAAGCCCTTGCCTACGCTTGAGGTCTCTTCTCCCTCTACACCTGTTCCTCATCAATGCAATCGTGCTAGCTTTGATTCCCACGTTATTTCCTTCTGCAACAGTCTTAAGTCATTTTTACTGCCCTGGGCTCACCATGTCCTCCCAAACTTTAGTACACCAGGGCCCAGGTTTTGTCCTTCAAATCTCTCCTGGAGACTGACCCTCTTTTCCTCTGAGAGGCCCACAAAATATGGGTAGAAATCAGAATACGGAGAGAGGAATGTGTTAGCTTCTCCCAGGGCTACCCGTTTCTGTCCCTCTTCCAGACCCTAAACCCCACAGATCCCACGGACTGGCACCCCGACTCCGGCAGAGGGGTGCCGCCCAGCAATGGGGCGGGGAGGGGGGGCTGCAGGGAACGCCCCCCTCGGGCCTGCAGGAAAAGGAAAGCACCCGCTCCCCCTCCCCCCAGCTCTTACCTCCCAGACCCGCTCGGCCCAGGACCTGCTTCCCCCACCAGGCCCCGGGTCTCCCCCCTCCCCCCAAGGCCCCCAGCTCTGCCCCACCGCCCGCTCCCGCCCACAGTCAGCAGGCCCCAGCTGCCCCCCCAATACCCGGCGCCCCGGGGAGCGCCGGCCCCGCGGCACTAGCTCCAGCCTCCGCCTGCGCGGATGAGGCGGCCGGTAGGGCGGATGGCGGCGGATTGAGCCATGAGCGAGAAGCCAGCGGCCCCTCAGCCACACTCACCATCTTCCTGCCGGGCCTGGACGCAAAGAAGGAGGTACTTCCTGCGCATGCGCGATAGCCTGGCCCTGGCCGGAAGGAAGGAGGGCTCGGACCACAGAGAGGACGGGACTCGGAGTGGGACTGTCTGGGCTCGGGGGGTGTGGGACTCTATCGTCGCCTTTGCTGCACTCTGCTGCAGAGATAGGGTTGTAGGTGTTGCGTGTAAAGGGTTTAGCCCGAATGCCTGGGAGTGGGTGAGGGACGGTGGGGTCAGAAATGAGGGGTTCCGGGTGCGGGAGGGGCAGGGGGTTGGGGCGTGGGAGGGGTGCAGGATCTGGGGTGGGGTCAGAAATGAGGGGTTCTGGGTGTGGGAGGTGCAGGGGGTTGGGGCATGGGAGGGGTGCAGGATCTGGGGTGGGGCCAGAAATGAGGGGTTCTGGGTGCGGGAGGGGGCTCAGAGCTGGTGCAGGGAGTTGGGATGTGGCCTCCTTCCACACAAGTGTGGGATTAGCTGTATGGTGTATGGATTTCCCCCCTCGGTATGTGTTAACCTGTGCAGCCAGCAGGTCTGATGGCTCAACTGGCTGCTCTGATCCATCAGATCCTATTTATACAGGAGATTGGTTATATGCATGGCAGACAAGAGGATGGATGACAGGCTATTAAGAAGGAACAAAAGGAAAAAGTGAACAGTAGAGTTCAAATAAGACCATTCAACAGGAGATGGGTTCATTCCATCAATGATGTTACATCATAAATAAATTTAGCCTAATTATACATCTATGATCTAAATCTAGGTGGAGTTAACAGTACAGGATATAACATTTACAGCAGGTATATTGGATGAAAAGATGTTTAAATATTTATCTTTCTTAGCCTAACAAAAGGTATGGGGGGGGGGGAGGGGAAATCAGGATATGCAACTAGTACCACAGAAGTGAAGTTCTGCTTCCATGGTACCCTGCTGACAATCACAGGGTTCAATTGTTGCAAAGATACCTATGACACGCTCTCAGATTTCCCTTCCCTCACAGAGTTTGAGTCCCACACAAAGCATTCAGTCATTCTTTTTAGTCTTACACAGCTTAATTCTGTAAATCTGTCCAGCAATAACAGGGTTATCTAAAGCCTTCAAACTCACAAAATGGAATTTATTTGCAGCTTGAGTTGGAACGATCCATCATTTGGAAAATATTGTAGAAATGTATTCATGCAGGGATACAGCAAATATCCAGGCAGTAAAATTGATCTATATCACCATGGATTTTATTGGATTGGAGATTTAGCCACAGAATGCAGATTTCTGACTTCATATCCAAAGAACCCATAAAAAGAAAATGGATAGAGTGGTTAGCTGGTTTTATTTTTAAGAAAATCAAAGAACACAGTAAATACTAGAACAATAAAAAGGGAACAGCAAACGCAGTTTTAAGAGACAAAAAGTCAATGATAATTTATAACAACTCTTATGTTACCCCTCCCTCTTCCTTAAAACCAGATTTTTTTTTTAAACATTCTTTGCATCCCATTGATCATCAAATCTGTATAAAGGCAAACAGGCATAAGACCCCTGTGTCCCTCGCTCTGATCAAAAATGAGTGCCCAGGGCTCAGAAAGCATGCCACAAATAATTGGGAAATTAACATGGAATTTCTCTCCAACATAAAAATCAGTGATAAAAGAAAAACAATCCAATACCAGCGCTGTTGAGTTCTGTCAATACTCATAATAGGATAATCCTATTTGTTTTAATTAAGTAATGATCGTGATCTGGATCATCTCATAAACTGGGTGCAAGCAAACAATGAGTTTTCACCCCTGCTGGCCTCCCTCTTCTCCCCCCTCACCAACTCCCCCCGAAAAAAAACCAAAACACAGGCCATATGTACAGGCTGGGGGACTCTATCCTAGAAGGAGTGACTCTGAAAAGGACTTGGGCATCCGGGTGGATAATCAACTGAGCAAGAGTTCCCAGTGCAAAGCTGTTGGCAAAAGGACTAATGTAATCCTTGGATGCATAAAGAGGGGAATCTTCAAGTTGGAGTCAGGATTATGTTACCTCAGTATTTGGCAGTAGAGCAACCATTGCAGGAATACTGTGTCCAGTTCTGGTTTCCACAGTTCAAGAAGGGTGTTGATACATTGGCGAGGGGTCAGAGAAGAGCCATGAGAATGATTAAAAGATTAGAAGACATGCCCCATCATGATAGACTCCAAGGGCTCAACCTGATAGCTTAACAAAGAGAAGCCTAAGGGATGACTTAATCACAGTCTGTGTGTATTAGGGATGTAAATATTTTAAAAGGTACCCATTGAAACTATTAAAATATCAGTTAACAGTTTTGTTGGTGTCACTAGGCATAGCTACCAGGTAACTCGGGAGAGTGGAAGGCCAAAAGTGCCGACGAAGCTCTTCTGCTCTGGGCCTACTTGAACCACAAAACTCCATCTTGAGAACTCTCACCTACTTCTGTGCTAACGGCTTACATGCTGAAGCAGAAATGTAAGGGTCAGCTTTTCTAACAGGCAGCTGCTGTAAACAGGCCTTGCAAGGCCAAAAGATAGGCAGACAAATGGGAACTTTTCTAATTGTAACTACTAGAGAAAAGAAGAGTAAGAGAAGTAAGAGGGAGTAACAGAACAAAGGCTTGCACAGAAACTGCTTAAAATATAAAAGAGAAAATTAGTTTGTATTTGTGGCACTTGATTTGAGACACGCTGGTCTCCTAGTGCCATTTCAGAGCTCTGAAATAAACTTGGCTTGCTTTCTCCCCTCGGTGTCTTTATTGGTGCCAAGCACACCGGGCAACGAACCCCTGTTTGCCATCTCGGGGTCCAGTTCTGGGCAGGCAACAGTTTTGGCGCCCAACGTGGGGCTCGAGGCTGAAATTTAGCCTTGCCCGGATCCCTCCTGGCGGCCGACGGATTACAGCGACGACCGACGCCCAGTGCGCACCGGTGACTTCATCGGGGGCCTCGGCGGAGACGTGGTTTGCTCGACCCAGGAGGGCACAACGGTGTAATGCACTCAGACAGTGGAGAAGCAGCTGCGGGCAACGGTGGGGAACCGTCCCGTGGATAGGGCGACGGTGCAGAACCGGACCCTTAGATAAGATAGGAACAGTCCAGTGGGGACTTATCTGTTGTGACCTGGGGACGCCCAGTGTCTGCCTGTTTTGATCTTTCTGGCAGATGGCTGCAGTTTCACTCACACTAGCAGAAATAGTAGAGATAAAGAAGCGAGGGAAGGGAGGGGGTAGTTAGTTTGCAGGCATGTAAACCCAAGGTAACAGATATGCATAAGACTGGGAAAGTTTTCTCACAAGCTTATGTAGAGTTTATTGTAACTGTTGTCAGAAAGGGAGGAGTAAGGGGGAAAAGCCAGACAAAGAGATGTATGCAAACAGTTTGGAGTACAAAAGGTAAAATTTGTTTGTATTTGTGGCACTTGATTTGAGACACGCTGGTCTCCTAGTGCCATTTCAGAGCTCTGAAATAAACTTGGCTTGCTTTCTCCCCTCGGTGTCTTTATTGGTGCCAAGCACACCGGGCAACGAACCACTGTTGTCCCCTCGAGCCCTTTGGGCTGGCAACACTTATGTTGTCCATGAATGCCTCAGGAAGCCCTTGACTGGGCTGCAACAAAGCGTTATCAGGTCGTCTTATGTTGGATCAGTGCCGGAGTGGTGTTGGTGCTTCAAGGAGCTCATCTCTCCTGTGATAGTAGGGTTACCATCTGCCCGGCATTTCCCGAACATGTCCGTCTTTCTTAGCATTAAATGGCCGTTCGGGGGGGGGGGGGAGCGGGGGATTTCTAATAAGGTAGAAATGTCCGGAATTTCCCCTTCCCCTCATGCAGAGTGCGGCGCGGCTGATTGGACGGCTGGGCCTGATTGAAAGCCGCTCGCAGCCACTGGGGCCTCGAGCAGCCAGAGTCCCTCCCCCTCCACCGCTCCCTCCTCCCCCGCAGAGCAGCGCCAGTGTTTGGCTGCACGTGGAGCTCGCAGCTCTCCCTCGGCCTGGGGGGGCAGGCAAGGGACAGGGAACGGGGGGGTTAGAGTTGGTCGGGGGCTCGTGGGGGGGCTGTCAGGAGAAGGGGGTGTAGAGCGGTTGGGGCAGGCAAGGGACAGGGAACGGGGGGTTAGAGTTGGGTCGGAGGTTCCGGGGGGGGCTGTCAGGAGAAGGGGGTGTAGAGAGCGGTTGGGGCAGGCAAGGGACAGGGAACGGGGGGTGTTAGATTGGTCGAAGGTCGTGGGGGGGCTGTCAAGAGAAGGGGGTGTAGAGAGCGGTTGGGGCAGGCAGGGGACAGGGAACAGGGGGGGTTAGAGTGGTCGGGGGTCCTGGGGGGGGCGTGA